CCCTCTAAAAGGATGCAAAAGACCAGCTGTTTCCAAGGGGTATAAATCCTTCCACTCCCCACCATCCAGCCAGAGTTTAAGAAGCTTCTTAGATGAGAAGCGAAAAGTCTTTAAAGAAGACACAAATAAGCCTCCAAGTGGCCTCAACGACCCTCTAAAAGGATGCAAAAGTCCAGCTGTTTCCAAGGGGTATAAATCCTTCCACTCCCCACCATCCAGCCAGAGTTTAAGAAGCTTCTTAGATGAGAAGCGAAAGGTCTTTAAAGAAGACACAAATAAGCCTCCAAGTGGCCTCAACGACCCTCTAAAAGGATGCAAAAGTCCAGCTGTTTCCAAGGGGTATAAATCCTTCCACTCCCCACCATCCAGCCAGAGTTTAAGAAGCTTCTTAGATGAGAAGCGAAAAGTCTTTAAAGAAGACACAAATAAGCCTCCAAGTGGCCTCAACGACCTTCTAAAAGGATGAAAATGACCAGCTGTCTGCAAGGAGGATAAATCCTTCCATTCCCCACTAGCCAGTCAGAGCTGAAGAAGCTTCTTGGATGAGAAGTGAAATGTCTTCACAAACAAACAAACAAACAAACAAACAAACAAACAAACCAGAAAGTCTAATTGCCTCTTGAAAAAAGCACCTTTGGGACAAGTAAAATTTATCCTTTTGTTTGTAATTTCTAAAAAAAAAAAAGAGTCCTTCCATTTTCTTTTTCCTCTGGCTCTAGTGTCTAGCCTCCAAGGTCTCCTTATAAAAAACAACACCCAGGAACATTTTGATGGGCCCTCATTGCCCTCCCTATGTAAGAAGAAAGGAATTAAGATTTAATTTAAGCAATTACCTTGGCAGGTCCGTTCATTCGTTAGTAATTTGTAGCCCTTTTGGCAGCTGCATTCAAAGCTTCCCACTGTGTTCCTGCAGAAGTGATCACAGCCACCGTTGTTCATCAGGCATTCATCTATATCTGTCAGAAACAGCAGGTGAAGAGACCAGAATAAGAGGCCAGTCTTGTATTTCTAAGAGAAATTACCTACGAATATTATATATCATCCTAAATTTGGGGGTGGCGGTGGGGGACAGGAAAATTTCACTTGAGTGAAGATTCCCATACCTGCCCACAGTAGAAGAGGGGGAAAAAACATTTTAACAGACCGAACAGAACAAACAGATTTGTGCAAAAAACCCCAAAACAGTTCAACATAAACTTTTCCCCAATGACAAGTAAAATGAGAAATATAGAAGAAAGCAAATGAAGAGCAAATAAACACATTCTACTTAAGATTGCTTCAGCCTATACAGTGTGTTCATGGGTCTTACAGAGTTAAAATTCTTCAGTGAATATATATTTGAACCTTCTATCAATATCTTCCACTGGAAGAAGTTTAGTGTAGAATGCCTTCTACAAAATCTTTCCTAGCTACTTGGAAACTTTTTCTCTCACCTTTCCCATGATTTAATCTTCACTCTTTCATGTTGGTCCACTGTTCTGTCCAAACTACGCACCTTTTCTTGCTTATCCCTTCTCTTTAACCTTTGCACCGGCTTTCGCCAACCCCACATTCCTTGCTCTTCTGCCATCCATCCCATTTAATTTAATTAGCAAAAAAAAGACTCCNTTTTTTAAACTTTTGTAATATGTGTTTTTTTTAATGTTGTACGCTGCCCTGAGTCCTTGGGAGAAGGGTGGCATATAAATCCAATAAACCAAAACTAAACCTAACCACCCCTTTGGATAAAGCACATATTGTCCTACACATATTTTCACCAATGTAAATCCATTCCAGCATAAAGAACATGATGTTGACGGTGTGCAGTCTCCTTTTGTTCTTCTGCGGAATGTATAGGCACCCTAAAAGAAGCAAAGGATACATCTAATCATATAGAATGACTATAGTTAAAAATTAAAGCTGAAAGCACTTACTCCATTTTGTAGCTCACCTAAAAGATACTGAAGATGATTTTCAGCAGAAATTGCTTATTGACTATAAAGATGTGGAAAAAGAAGGCATGTCCATGCCCTAAACTAGAAAGTGATAACTGAGCGACGTACTGAACTGAGTTATGTGGGAGGAGGCCAGCAATGTGATATTAATAATTCAGAGATGCTAATCCAATCAAATCAGCCTGTGCCTCTTTGGGCTAATTGTCTCCCCGCCCAGTTGCATTGTTTCTGGGAATTTAGCTAACTCTCCCCTTCCAAGGCAAAGATCACATCCTTGAGAGGTCTCATGAAAATGAGGTAAATTTAGGCCAGAAGTCAGCAAGGCTCTGGAGCCGCATATGGCTCTTTCATCCCCCTGCTGCGGCTCCCTGTCACTCAAAATATGTGCCGCAACCACCAATGTGCAATGCCTGCCAGCATGCAATTTATTGAGCTTTTCAACCCCTGGTAGGTTTTGTGGTGTTTTCTTTTCTGTGGGAAACAGATTCAAATGGCTCTTTGAGTGTTTAAGGTTGCAGACTCCTGCCTTAGGCATTCTGTCTTTATTTACGTCCACATTGGAGGTGGCAAAGAATGGAAAGGCAGGGGACAAGTTCTAAACTCTGTCCAGGATAGTTGCATCCCCCAGGAGGGAGACTGGAGTGGTTGTTTCTGCAAGGATTAAAAATGGTCTTGTAGAAAGTTAGCACCCACCCCTCTCCTAGAAAAATGTTTTAGGAAATATTAAAAGGGCAGAATATTTTCCCTAAAAGGGAGGCAGAAACTCATCTCCCCCACCTTTGTCAATGGCCGATTAAGGTCTGAGCCAGTCTATTCTACATAACAAAGATCTACCTCCTTCAGGCAGAGCCATAATAGGAATCCCAAAGCCCTTTCATTACATCATCACCCAGCANACCGCCTCCTGCCATTTACCTCCCAGAGACCTATAAGATCACACAGACTAGGCCTCCTCCAGATTCCATCTGCCGGTCAATGTCGGCTGGCGACTCCCTGGGGGAGGGCCTTCTCTGTAGCTGCTCCAGCCCCATGGAACGATCTCCCCGTGGACCCTTACTACTCTTCCGGCCTTCCGCAGAGCGATTAAGACCTGGCTTTTCCGGCAGGCCTGGGGCTGTTGATTTATCCATCCCCATTCTAAGCTATATGAATGTTGTGAAATTTTAATGTTTGTTCTTTTTAATTTTTATACGTTCCCCTTCCTGCTTTATCTGTAAGCTGTCCTGAGTCTCTCTCGAGAGTGGGCGGCATACAAATCCTAATAAACTGTAAACTGTAAACTATAACCCTGAAAAAATTAATTACTGTATTTTTCAGACTATAAGACACACTGGTGTATAAGATGCACCATGATTTTGAAGAGGTAAATTAAAAAAAAAGTTTTTGCACTCTGCAGGCCTCCCAAACCCTCGTTTTTTTGCAAGAAAAAAAGAAAAAAAAGAAAAAGAAATAAGAAAAAAAAAGAAAGGTCATGGAAAGCTTTGGGAGGCTTATAGAGTGCTCCTGGGTGCTGGGGGGAGGGCAAAACCGAGCAAAAAATGCCCAGTTTTTTACAAAAACAGGCTGTTTTTTGCAAAAAAAGGGGGGGCATGCAGAGGCTTTGGGAGGCTTGTAGAGTGCTCCTATGGGCTGAGGGCCAAAAACAGCCTGTCTGTTGCTCATTTTTGGCTTCCCCAGCTCCCAGGAGCACTTTGCAAACCTCCCAAACCCTCTGCACGTCCATTTTTGCAAAGGGGGCAGAATTTCAGTAGGCCAAGATGCATCCAGATTTTCACCCTGTTTTGGGGGTGGGAGGGAAAGATGCATTTTATATTCCGAAAAATACAGTATGCCCTGTTTTAATAACAGGAAACTCTAGAGACTATTGAAATCTGTTTGCTATCCATTATTGAAACATTATTGAAAGTCGTTGAGTTCTAAAGTTCTAAAGTTCTTGATCTCCATATTAGACCTGCAGGATAGAGGAAGAATTCTCAAGAAGGAGTTAAAAAAAAAATCGTCCCCCAAGCATTGAAATGCCCAAACTAAGTCTTGGTTCAAAAAATAATCTGTTGAGATTATTGAGATTCATTAGAAAAGCTAAAAACTTCCAAGTAGATATTGATATCAATGTCAAGATTAATAACAATGTTGTTATTGTTATAATATCAATCTCAAGATCAATAACAAGATTCGGTGAGAATGCTATATAAAACTCCGTGAGCCAGAGAACGAATGGTAGAATATAAAGCTATTGTTTGTTTATTTGGATCAATTTAAATTGGAAGAGAAAGGAAATTTTCATTTTCCACTGGTTTTGCCTGACATTTTGCAAAATTTATTCTGTAAACTATTTGGCTTTTGCAGTTCATTAGGGATTATGTTGAAGTCTGAGACAGATTAAAATGCAACTGTTTGCTATTCTGCCAATGTTGCTTCTTATTTTGAGGCCTGAAAAGATTTCCAATTTGGATAAGTTTTCATCCTCCACTGAAATGGGAAGGCTGCCTGGTTATCCTGGGATATCCAGCATAATTGAAGCAGAATCCAATTCCAGTGATAACTCGGAAGGGAAAAACAGCAAATCTAATTTATTATTTAAAGGAAAGGGAGGGGCAAGTGTGTTGGCTAGTGACCCCCAGGGCGAGAGCCTTCGCTGTGGGAGCGCCTTCCCTCTGGAATGAGCTGTCCCCGGAGCTTCGTATAATCCCTGACCTCTGGTCCTTCTGATGCTCCGTAAAAAGTTGGCTTTTCCAGCAAGCCAGCCTGGCCTGAACAAAACAAATTATAGATTATTGTTAATTTTAATCGAATTTCTTTTAAAAATGTTATTGTCAATCTAAATTGGGTTTGTTTTTTGGATATTCTATTTAATTTTTTAAACTTTTGTAATATGTGTTTTTTTTAATGTTGTACGCNGGTTCTACCGAATAGGTGCAAACTGGTAGGAACCCACCTCTGTCAGGGCAGGCTCTGCTTCAAACCCACCCACATTTCAATCTCTCCCCTCTCCTGCCGTTGTTGATGTCAGGCTGGCAAGATGCCATGCGAAGGAAGCAGCACAATGACAACTGTCACACTTTCCCTTCAAACCCTGACACTTTCCCTCTTGGGCTGTGTATCAGGGGTGGGCTTCAAAATTTTTAGCAATGGATTCTCTGCCTGGTTGCTGGGCAGGCGTGTCATGGTGGGTGTGGCCTAGCCAGCCTCCTGCACCACAGCAGGGGGGGTTGCCCTCCCCCGGCTCCGGAGGCTTTCTTTGAATCTCCGGGAGGGCAAAAATGGCCTCCCCAAGGCTCCAGAGGACCTCTGGAGGCCAGAAATGACTTCATTTCTGAACTTCCAGGAGGCCCATTTTTTGCCCTCTCCAGGCTCCAGAGGTTTCCTCCCCTGGCTCCGGAGGCCCTCCAGATGGGCCTTTTTCTGGCCTTCTGGAACTTCTAGGGGGCTAGTTTTTCACCCTCCCCTAGCCTTCACGCAGGCCCCCATACTTACCTGGCATCCCAAACAGGCTGTGGGAGACTCCTGGGAGGAGAGGGATGGGTGGGTGGGGCCAGCCTGGGTGGGATTTGTGGGCTCACCGAACTGGGGAGATCCTTAGCTAGAGGATCACCCGAACCCGTGTGAACTCACAGTAGCCCACCCCTGCTCTGTACCTTCATGTTTTGCTGGACTGGGCATTTTGACTCTACTAAAGTTTTCCTGCTTTGTCCTCGCTCTGTCCTTTCTATCTTTCCTGCTTGTTCTGAAATGTTCTGGGTTTTTAAAATCATTTTTTTTAAAGTTTCCACAATAATATCTCCTGTAGTGGTGTTTTCCCTCTGTCAAAGGGTAAACTGCAACTCCTGTGAGGAAAGAAATCCCCATCTGCTGTCTGAGCAGCATCTTGATGCTGAGCTCCGGGAGAAATTATCGGTTTTAAAATTTACCAAGGAAGCATGTCCATCAAGCCAAATGTGTAATTATTATAATGTTTTGCATTTTCTAAGCATCATTAACCAAATGACTTGGGATTCTGGTTTAGAGATGTGAATTCCCTCACC